ATGCAAGTGACATGTTGAGACACGTGGACTGGTCAAATAGTCAAAGAATTATAATTAGTCAAGAGGCACGGGTAGCAGTAGAAACGAGCAAAGGCAAAGGAAGAGGCACGAGAGGACATTTGAAGGATTCAGCGCCCGTATCTATTTAAATCATTTATCAAAAGGAATGAATCTGACCATAATAAAGAGCGCATATATGAAATTCGACAGGCATTAAATACTGGATACGTTAGAGAATTTGTATTGATTACAATGATTGTGTAACGTAGCATTCAATGTCTTTAATTATTCATAATGAGGAGGAAACACATATCTTCAAGATACCTATAAAAGGGAGGTATCTGGTCACTTGTAAACACAAGACACAATTGGAATATACTTTGATTCACTTGTTTTTCTCCTGATTATACTCTGATTACTCTAAATTACCTTCTTCTACATATTCTTTTGATTATCAGTAACCTGCGTTCTTTTAAATTCTAACTTTGACTGAAATTTTATTTTTTGGTTAAACAAACCTGGCTAGCAAGCACAGATTACAGCGTTATAGAGATAGATATCAAGCAGGAGATGACTCAAATAATAACCCAACAATAAACTTTGAATTGAACTTGTAAAAGTTTTTGAAATGGCACTCTATCGTACAGTTACAGAGAACCGCTACAAACAATCATTTTACACACTCCTCTTCTTTTTTAATGGAGGTTCTATAGGGACTAGTTGTCGGTCCTCGAAGAAGAGAAATTTCAGTATTGCTTTATGTTTGAATCACGAGTAATTATTGGGAAATTATATTAAAACAGTGTTAATCATACTAGCTTGACAGCTCTACTACTATTTGTATTAGTAAAAGTTAGACTCGCCATGTGGGTCTATTAAATGGCAACACATATCAATAAAGTTTGAAGAAAAGTGAAGAATGACATGTAAAAATGATATGTGAAACACCTTCGGGACCGAACATACTCATACCATGCATGTTAGCCCCGGAACTGATCATCATGAAATAACCCAGATCAGACGCGGGAGAATATCTCATAGTTACAAATGAGGAAGGAATAAATTAATCCCGGATTATATGGGATTTACCATCATTACACCATCAGTTACAAATCAATTATTAATAAATGCAATAAATGATTGTAACGGTCAGAACAAGGCAATCAGGCACGAGATTGACTCAACATGCATGAGATTGACTCAACAGGTACGAGATTGACTCATTAATTACGGAATTAACTCATCAGTTACAGAATTCCAGCATTTACACAACTATTACAAGTCTTCCAAAAGTAATGGATGGATTAAGTAAATGCTCATAATGGACCCATAATTCAAGGAGACTAGTTACTTAGATTTAGCCCTATAAATAGATATACTTTTACCACCATCAGTGGAATCTAATTTTCTTCTCTACAATTCTATACATTGTAATTTAGGGGTCAATATTCTTGTAAATCCTACCAGGACTAATATTCCCTCAGACTAAAAGTCTACTCGGATCAATCGATCCTATTTTACGCTTGAATGAAAAGGAGACGTCCTCTTCATAGCGTTTAAAGTATATAAAAGAGCCCTCTTATGTAAAAGTTTGTCACTCAAAGGTGCAACATTAAGACATCGCATGTAACGATGCATCCAAATATATATTTTAAGTCTAAAAGACTAAGTATGAGCACTCAAATAATTTTTTAAAGTGACAAGAAAAATTAATACTCGGATAAATTTTTTAAAATACCAAATGATGATATTAGACCCGAAAGACACACGAGGAACACTATATTAAGGAACACTGTATTAATCCCGGTCTAGGTTACAACCCTTTTGGTAAAAAGGGGGGGTTGGTTAAGCAGTTATCATCTAAATATATACCTCCGAGTCCCATATGTTTTTCCTTTTCAGGAAATGGACCACGTGGAAGGAATAATCAAATGCTCCAGATTTCATACTTTAAAGCTCTAACACTTGGGGACTATATATATGGAAGGCAAAGAAGACTAGAAAAATAAAAATTCAAGTCAAGCCTAAGGTCTACCCAACAAATCGAAAGTTAAGAGCCAAAAACACTTGTAAATATAAACGAATGTGTCAAAAAAGGTTAAAGGTAGAATATTAGTTACGGAAAAAAATGCACATCTTTGTACTTACTCAAAAACTGTTGTAACTGAAAACAGTTACGGATGAGAAAGCATTACACTTGTATTCATTTGAAAACTGTTATCAATAAAAATAGTTATGGGTAAAAATTCATACCCTTATATTTAAAACTGTTGTAAACAAAAATAGTTATCTCCTTGTACTAATTCAAAAAAAAAAACTGTTGCAAAAGAAAAACAGTTACGAGTGCAAGCTTATATCGAATCTGTTAAAAGAAAAAGCAGTTGCAAAATGAGTTATAGACGATAGATAAACACATGTGAAATGTTATGAAAGTTAAATGTAAAAACTTTCTTCAAAACATTGTTAAAGAAAAACATGTGAAAATTCCTATCTCTCTTTTGTATATTTACACTATTATGAAGTTGAGTCGTCTTTTTCATTAAGCGTCGTTCATAAAAGGGTCATCTTTTATAATTCGTGCTTATTCAAAAAAGTCACAGAGCATTGAAGCATTTTTAATGCAAAGTTAAAGGGTGAAACAAAAACCCAAACATTAAAATAGGCAGAAAATAAAGCCAAAATATATATATATATATATATATATATATATATCAAACTTTGCAAACATAAGGCAAAGAGTTGTCTTCAAACCCCGAAACAAGACAGGGGTAAACCAACCGATTATTAACGAAAGGAACATAAGCGACGGAGTTATCATCTGAATATCTAAGTTCTGCGCTCTTTTTTTCTTCGTCCGATTTTTGTCCCTATTGGGTTTTTCTAGCAAGATTTTTAATGAGGCAGAGACAAGGATGAAAAGGATAAAATCTTTCACTTTCCGATCACATCATAGTGAGTAACCGGAAAGTGGGGGAACTATCTGTATTATTAAAAATTAGACTCGCCATGTGGGTCTATTAAATGGCGACACATGTCAATAAAGTTTGAAGAAAAGTGAAGAATGACATGTAAAGATGATATGTGAAACACCTCCGGGACCGAACATACTCATACCATGCATGTTAGCCCCGGAACTGATCATCATAAAATAGCCCAGATTAGGCGCGGGAGAATATCTTATAATTACAAATGAGGAAGGAATAAATTAATCCCGGATTATATGGGATTTACCATCATTACACCATCAGTTACAAATCAATTATTAATAAATACAATAAATGATTGTAACGGTCAGAACAAGGCAATCAGGCATGAGATTGACTCAACAGGCATGTGATTGACTCAACAGGCACGAGATTGACTCAACAAGCACGAGATTGACTCAACAGGCACGAGATTGACTCAACAGACACAAGATTGACTCATTAATTACGGAATTAACTCATCAGTTATGGAATTAACTCATCAGTTACGGAATTCCAGCATTTACAAAGCTGTTACAAGTCTCCTAAAAGTAATGGATGGATTGAGTAAATGCTCATAATGGACCCATAATTCAAGGAGACTAGTTACGTAGCCCTATAAATAGACATACTTTTACCACCATCAGTGAAATCTAATTTTCTTCTTTACAATTCTATAAATTGTAATTTATAGCATATTGCTCTCAAGTTAGCCATAATTCGGCCCTTCAAGCTCTGTTCGGCTCATTATCCTATCAAGGATCATTCAATAAGAATTCTTTCTTCTCTGCTTTATTTTTATTATATTATCTGTCATTGAATTTATTTCCCACTTCTCTATCACGTTGTATTAACGAAATTTTATATCTTTCGGATTGAATCGGTTGTTTGTGGCCCGTAATATAAAATTATTGATTTGACCTTAAAAATTATTTTTTGGGTTAAACACTCTTACTAATTAAGTATTGGCCTGGTGGTTAGTTCAAAATCCTACAAAAGTATGAAGTTGAGTCATGCATTAACGTATTCCACTACGAATACTACTCCCTCGTCTCATATTAATAGTCATAGTTATTAAAAATAGTTCTCTCAAATCATTTGTTATTTTAAAAGTTCAAGATAAAATTGATTATTTTTTTTCTTTTTTACCCTTAGTAATAATTGTTATTGAAGATGGAGATAACATATAAATAGAATAAATATTCAATGAAGAGATATTATATCTTATGTCATAAATAAGGGTAGAATCATCCAATACCTTTTCTAATTAATATTTCTTAAGGGTTATATAAAAGAGAAATACGACACATAATATGAAACGGAGGGAGTACTGTAATAATTGACCCAAATTTTTTCCCCTTGTAAGCCAAACAAACTAAGGGAATAGGAGATAAAGAAAGAGTAACACCCAGCGGCATATAGCAATTTTTTAACGGATTTGCTATATATAAGGGGTGGTTAAATAACTAATTACCTGCGGGGAGGGGGTTCGGGTGTCCTGTACAGTGACATTCCACTTCCCTTTACTGCTTAAAGGCTCGCCGGTGCCACCCCACAAATTCCATTCTCCATCAGAGCCGCCACCAGATTCATAACTGAGGCTCAATACTTTGCTATTGAACTGAATGTGGCGGAGCAAGTCAAAGTGACGAGCATACAATTCAATGTACTCCATCACAGCTTGTTGGTCGGGGAACATATCGGTTACAGAATCGGGCCATGGAAAATCAGAGAACTGGTAAAAAGGTCTTGGTGTCTGCAACTTTGTACTCTCAATGGTCTTAGTCCACACACCCCCAATGCTATCCTCGGATTCAAACACTATGGGATCGAAACCTTTTGAAAGACTGTATTTGCAGGCCAATAGGCCACTTATTCCAGCTCCGATTATTGCTATCACCTGCTTCTTTCTGTGATTAGTTGCCATTGTTACTGTGATAGTCTCTCCTCCTTTTTCTCTAACATGTGAGGATGAATAATTTGGTTTCTGTACTTCACTATAGTTCGACACAAACTTTGCTATAAGTAATCATTTATTGGTCACTTGTATGATTTAAAAAACTTAAGTACCCGTTGTACTGTAGTAGCATTTAATTAACGTGTAACCATTTAAAAAATTCTGAATTATGCAATTAAAGGCACGCCAACAAGTACTATATTCCTGGTAACATTATCAAGAAATCGCTGGCATCTAACATGTTATGATGGCTTAGTATGCTAATCAGAAAGCATATCATTTAATTAATGTGTACCATTAACAAATTATGTAATTAGCCGCACGAGGACAAGTACAATATTCGTTTACTGGTGGCACCTAACGTGGTAAGGTCGGTTACCAAGGTCCTATTATTACCAGATTTTGATGCTAATCAGAAGCAGATCTCGAATTCTCTGTCAGCCATGGTCCTCCCTGATATTTTTATATCTCTCCGTCTCAATGTGTTTGATTCACAGCTCACCTCCTGTACATCCTTTGTCCTCTTTCATATGTAAGGGCCAAAGTTTATTTAGACTAAACAACTCCTAAATCATTGTTATAACTAAAACACCTTTATTTTATCCTTTCTTTCTTCCACCTTTTTTGTTTTTTAGAAACCAAATAAGTTTATTATGGGTGTGTTTGGTATAACGGAAAATGTTTTCCGTGAAAAATATTTTTTTGAAAAACAAGTAATAATCTTATTTATTTTTTGGTGTTTGATATGCAAATTAAGGAAAATGACTTCTCAAGAGTATTCATAAATAATTTGGATATAATAAACATGAAGCCATAAACTTTCAAACCAACAACCTTCCGAACCCACAAATTTCATAAACTTTCGAAACCACAAAATTTCGAACCCCGTAAACTTTATAATTTATAAACCCGAAAATTTTCAAACACATAAACCTCCGAACTCATAATTTTAGAACCTGTAAAATTTTGAACCTTTAAACCGATAAGTAAAAAAACTGAAACTGAAAAATACATTCTCTTCATCGAATAAGCCAGAGTAAGTGTAACAGCTAAAGGCTAGCCAGACTTTTCTTGGACTGTAGGATGGCACAAGGAGAGGTGATAGTACCTTTGTGCTGGCCGTCTTATTTAATTTGAAAGCTCTCGAACAATAGATGGTAGCAAAAGCTAAGTGCCATTTCTTTTTGTCGGAGACGTCAACTTGAGCAGGCAAATCTGCTTAACCAAAAATTTGAATCTTTGGCCAAAGCTAGAAATAAAGAGAAATTCGGGTTACTAATAATCTGGAGACGAAAATAATAGAAGACTTCTGAGAACAATAAAGTAATAAGTAGTTTTGTATTTCAGTGTAATCTCAATAATATTTCGTGTGTCTACAGATGTTGAGTCCTTCTCCTTTTATAGTTGATTCTAGGAGAAGGTGTAATGCCTTTGTCTTAATGAGGCAATTATGAGCAATAAATGACATTAAAAGAAACGTTACACACTCATTTCTATTTAATTCAAATTCTCTAACGTATTTGATATTTAATGTTGTATTTAGACTCTTTTACGTTATCAGATTCGTATCTTCAACTTCTTCCGATCTTCGGTCTCTAAATGACTCGAATAGGTACAAGACTCGTGCCATTTGAGTAACGGTCCACACCTATGTTGTTTTCTTCTCCCCATATCTGTTGTCGCCCGTGCCTCTCTGCTATTTATTGCGTTTTGACCTTTTGACCAGTCCACGTGTTATGACACGTCATCTTCAATATACAGAATCAATTTTTTCCCAATACAGATAGTCCTTCCACTTTCCATTTATTTATCAATTAAATATTTGGGAAGTGGATCTTCACAAAAAGGGAATTTTTGCCGTAATCAATGTTATGACAGTACTGACGCTTCAGTTGTCTTTTCTATTTAATGCTCTGCACACGTGTCACCTTCTGATTGGCTCTGTAATTCTGCAGCCTTTTTTTAAGGCTTCTTCATCCCCTCTATTCACGAAATGATAGTTGCCTTTATTATAGGCTTTTCATCATTACACTTCTTTGTTTGACGGTTGCTATTATATATATATTTAACCTTTTTTCCTTTAGTTCGTCCTTTCTCTGCAATGGCGTCTCCGAATCCTAACCCTAAGAGAATCCCAATTCTTGATAGCTTCCCCAACGCCCCTGTAAGACATAGAAGGGGTAGAGGTGGCAGGATTCGTAGCCTAGGATCCGTTCGTGGTGGTTCCTCTGGTTCCATCACTCCTTCTTCTAGTTTTGGCACTATTTCTAGAAGTTCTATCACTAAGAAATTCTCTTCTAAAGGTAAAGAACTTTTTGAGCCTCTTCAAGAGCCTTTAGTGAGGAAATAGTACTTAATGACTTATCCTTTGAGAATGATAGAAAATCTCTTCGTGAACAAGTTGTTAATTTAGAGAAAGCTGATACTTTTCCTTCTCTAATCACTGAACCTTTGGTTTCTATTGTTCGAAAAGATTGCAACTGGAGAAGTGATCTTCGTATAGTGATCCGTAATCCAAACCAGAGAATATCTTCTTTTAGGATTGGGTTTTCTTTTGTTTATACTTACCCCTTCACTTTGGGATTTATTCCTGCTATTGACCCAGTTATACTTGATTTTTGTCGCTTTTTCAAAATTTGTTTGGGACAAATTGGCCCCCTTGTATGGAGAGCAGTGGCTTGTTTGAGGTATTTATCCATAAAAGCCAATGTTAGCTTTACCTTTCCCCACCTTATTCATTTTTACCACCCCAAATTATTCCGCTATGAGGTTTTTACTTTAACTGCAATATTAGGAAATTGGTGGCACCTAACGTGATAAGGTTAATTATATTATTACCAGATTTAGATTCTAATCAGAAGCAATTTGATTCACAGCTCACCTCCTGTACATCCTTTGTCCTCTTTCATATGTAAGGGCCAAAGTTTATTTAGACTAAACAACTCCTAAATCATTGTTATAACTAAAACTCCCTTATTTTATCCTTTCCTTCTTCCACCTTTTTTGTTTTTTAGAAACCAAATAAGTTTATTATGGGTGTGTTTGGTATAACGGAAAATATTTTCCGTGAAAAATATTTTTTTGAAAAACAAATAATAATTTTATTTATTTTTCGGTGTTTGATATGCAAATTAAGGAAAATGACTTCTCAAGAGTATTCATAAATAATTTGGATATAATAAACATGAAGCCATAAACTTTCAAACCAACAACCTTCCGAACCCACAAATTTCATAAATTTTCGAAACCACAAAATTTTGAACCCAGTAAACTTTATAATTTGTAAACCCGTAAATTACCAAATACATAAACCTCCGAACTCATAATTTTAGAACTTATAAAATTTTGAACCTTTAAACCGATAAATAAAAAAACTGAAACTGAAAAATACATTCTCTTCATCGAATAAGCCAGAGTAAGTGTAACAGCTAAAGGCTAGCCAGACTTTTCTTGGACTGTAGGATGGCACAAGGAGAGGTGATAGTACCTTTGTGCTGGCCGTCTTATTTAATTTGAAAGCTCTCGAACAATAGATGGTAGCAAAAGCTAAGTGCCATTTCTTTTTATTGGAGACATCAACTTGAGCAGTCAAATCTGCTTAACCAAAAATTTGAGTCTTTGGTTAAAGCTAGAAATAAAGAGAAATTCGGGTTACTGATAATCTGGAAACGAAAATAATAGAAGACTTCCGAGAACAATAAAGTAATAAGTAGTTTTGTATTTCAGTGTAATCTCAATAATATTTCGTGTGTCTACAGATGTTGAGTCCTTCTCCTTTTATAGTTGATTCTAGGAGAAGGTGTAATGCCTTTGTCTTAATGAGGCAATTATGAGCAATAAATGACATTAAAAGAAACGTTACACAATCATTTCTATTTAATTCAAATTCTCTAACGTATTTGTTATTTAATGTTGTATTTAGACTCTTTTACGTTATCAGATTCGTATCTTCAACTTCTTCCGATCTTCGGTCTCTAAATGACTCGAATAGGTACAAGACTCGTGCCATTTGAGTAACGGTCCACACCTATGTTGCTTTCTTCTTCCCATATCTGTTGTCGCCCGTGCCTCTCTGCTATTTATTGCGTTTTGACCTTTTGACCAGTCCACGTGTCATGACACGTCATCTTCAATATACAAACTCAGTTTTTTCCCAATACAGATAGTCCCCCCACTTTCCATTTATTTATCAATTAAATATTTGGGAAGTGGATCTTCACAAAAAAGGAATTTTTGCCGTAATCAATGTTATGTCAGTACTGACGCTTCAGTTGTCTTTTCTATTTAATGTTCTGCACACGTGTCACCTTCTGATTGGCTCTGTAATTCTGCAGTCTTTTTTCAAGGCTTCTTCATCCCCTCTATTCACGAAGTGATAGTTGCCTTTATTATAGGCTTTTCATCATTACACTTCTTTGTTTGACGATTGCTATTATATACATATTTAAACTTTTTTCCTTTAGTTCGTCCTTTCTCTGCAATGGTGTCTCCAAATCCTAACCCTAAGAGAATCCCAATTCTTGATAGCTTCCCCAACGCCCCTGTAAGACATAGAAGGGGTAGAGGTGGCAGGATTCGTAGCCTAGGATCCGTTCGTGATGGTTCCTCTGGTTCCATCACTCCTTCTTCTAGTTTTGGCACTATTTCTAGAAGTTCTATCTCTAAGAAATCCTCTTCTAAAGGTAAAGATTTTGAGCCTCTTCAAGAGCCTTTAGTTGAGGAAATAGTACTCAATGACTTATCCTTTGAGAATGATAGAAAATCTCTTCGTGAACAAGTTGTTAATTTAGAGAAAGCTGACACTTTTCCTTCTCTAATCACTGAACCTTTGGTTTCTATTGTTCGAAAAGATTGCAACTGGAGAAGTGATCTTCGTATAGTGATCCCTAATCCAAACCAGAGAATATCTTCTTTTAGGATTGGATTTTCTTTTGTTTATACTTACCCCTTCACTTTGGGATTTATTCCTGCTATTGACCCAGTTATACTTGATTTCTGTCGCTTTTTCAAAATTTGTTTGGGACAAATTGGCCCCCTTGTATGGAGAGCAGTGGCTTGTTTGAGGTATTTATCCGTAAAAGCCAATGTTAGCTTTACCTTTTCCCACCTTATTCATT